GTCCGTCTCTGTCTGTCTGCTATTCTATCCCGATTAATTGTCTGGCACACTTATATACAAGAATAGAGGGCGTCTAGCAAATACTGGATTATTCGTGATGTTCCCCGATCTTTCTAGAATGCATTACGTGTTACCAGCATCACGTGATTTCCACTGTCGTAACACTATTATATATTTCGGAAAGCAAGGTTTGGCATACATGGGCACTGAGGCTCAGTAAGGTAATTCTATAGAATTGTTGAAGCTGGTATCAAACCACAAACCCCAGTTTAATACATATTTTTCTTCACCTGTCCGTAACAAATACTGCAGTTGAGCCTCACAGAATAAAATCATGGAACTCGTAGCTCATAATGTACTCCGTAATGTTGTAGAAGCTGTTAAAAATAACAGTTTTTTTGGCATCATTTGTGATGAAATTTGTGACTCTGCATATCAGGAGCAATTAAGATTGTGTGTGAGATATGTCAATGATGATTTAAATGTATATGAGAAATGGATAGCATTCTCTATTCTCAGTAATGCGACAGCTGAAAACATTACAAATACAATCAAAGACTATTATCATATGGATTAGATATTAATCAAGCTCGTGTGCAGAGTTATGATGGAGCCAATACAATGAAATGTCAGAAAAGTGAAGTAGCAACACAAATTTTAAATGACAATCCAAAATTACCTTCAGCTACTGTTCTGATCTCGGACTGAACTTGATAGTTCAAGATACTGTAAATTCTCTTTTGTACTTGGTGGAATCACAGGAAGTTCTATGACAGGGGGTCGCATTTATTAAATACTCCCCTCATAGAAAGGCATCATACGAAGCCTTTACAATAGATGATGCCCCTTCTATCACTTTACAACCTCTGTGTCCAACACACTGGGATACTTTCAAATTCAACAGTTTGTGTGACATTTGCACCTCTGTACAATGCAGGCTCTTCGATGCCTATAGAATTAGAAGTTGATAAAATGGATTTGTAAAACTGTGTTGCAATACCAGCAGCATCAGAAGAGAAGCCATACCTTCAGTTTTTGAGCTGACAAACTGCACTGAAACTTTAGATGAGTGTCTTAGAATGTGCACTGGATGAGTTATTGTAAACAACTTCAGACCAAAAAACATTGGACTTCTGCAGGTCATTAATAAACTCACAAGCTTGCACACACATTTGATGGCAACACGGTATCATTACAGGTTTCCTCTAGCCAATCCAACAAACTGCCATATTGAGCAACAAATGACATCACAACATTGCCTTGCAAAGCCTTTGGGCAAAGGAGGATATTAGTGTCCTTGAACACCCCAGTTTAGTAAAGTTTATCTTTTCTTTAAAAATTAAATCCCTGCCACAATTTGTTTATTTAATTGATTCATAAGTTGTGAATGTCTTTCATTCTGTGAACACATCTGTTTACTCTGAATTAAGTGACACATTTTTGTGTTGTACAGGTGAATAGTGTTTTGTGTAACTGTTAAGCCTTGTTGTCCAGTT